AAAAATGTCCAAAAACTTATTCAAACTTCGTCTCGAGCCTCTATTTCCCACTCGGGTGTTGCTTAAAAGTACTTGAAAGTTCTACACTCATCTGGATCACATCCTGAGCCTTCTTGCTTCGATATTGTCTAGAAGTCTCTTATTTTCTAAACATACATCAAAACTCACTTCTTTACCCCATTTCTCTATTCTCTCTTTTTTCTCATTTTTTTGGAGATTCACCTTTACATCTTCCTACATTGGGGTTTCGTTTGGCTACCGATTCGTCAACACATGGGGTGGCCATTAAGCTTGAGACTCTTAAAAACACACATTGTATGACCATTTTCTAAAGTGTAAATTACACTTTGTTCCTTTTATGTTTAGTCACTTTCTCACTTTGGCCCTTAAAGTTTGTTTTTTCTCACTTTGACCCTTTATGTTTCAAGTTTTTTCTAATTTACTCCTAAAGCTAACTTATGTTCAAAATGAGACATAAAATTTCACGATAACTTTCACATAACATAAAAATATATTATTATATTAGAGTTTGAGTTTATGTTAAATGTGTGAGTTATATATAATAAAATATTTTTATATCGCGTAACTGTCAAAATGAAAAAAAAAAAAAAAAACTTTAAGAACCAAAGTGAGAAACTAGCCAAACATGAAAGGGCAAAGCGTAATTTACCCTTTGCTAAAAGCAAAGGTTTACATAACCTTTCAACACCCTCACTAGGAGTGGTATGTAATCTTTGATAATGATTAAGTTACTTTGCCAAAAAATCACCACTTTTATTTGAGGTTGTATGCTTTCCCACAATCACTGGTTTTTTCAAAGTACACAACTTCTAATAATATTTGATGGACTTTTAAAGTCTCTGTAAGTGTTACCATGTATCGCGTACACTTGTGACAACACTCAAGTCGTCATATAAGTGTTTGCGCTAACATAAAAAAGATGCTTTCTCAAACCACGTTTGTTACTCATTATTATGCGTAGAAATCTTACTTATCAACACTTGACGTTGTCCAATTGCTAGTGCTTCGTCTACTTCTTTCGTAGTTTGGATGAGTCGCTTATTGATGGGCCTATCTTTAATGGGCTGCTGTGTCATATGTCTGGGTCTATCTCTAATGGGCTGCTGTACCATATGTTTGGGCCTATTTTAATTGTTCCTAATAAACATTAAATGGGCCTCATTGTTGTAATTGGTCCGTTGGTCTGTTTACCAATTACAGCCCATTTATCCAGCTTAAACCTGCTCAGAAATCAAATTTATTATGACACATAAATTCAATAAAATTACATTTTTATTTAATCATAAAAATTTACATAAATATTTTCCCATCGCCAATCTTTTACATAATATGAAAGCTCGTCGAGTACAATGGTAAGTGCGAGACAATAATTTACAGGGCTAATAATCCCAAAGCTGGATAATTTGTTCGTTATCCTGCATGCAATAAGCTGGGTAAATACAGTCTCCGACAGGCTTCTGCGACCACTGGATGTCAGCCATGTATATATTGTCGCGGTAAACGTCCGGATTACCAATGCTTTGTGGAGGTTGTAGTTGAATAGGCATTGTATCTTATATACCCCCTGATTGCCCGGCCTGGAGAGGTTTACTGCTTTGAACCACATCGGGTTCTTCAAAGTATCGCAAAAGACCCCTGACAGCGTCTTCTCTCTCCAATGTATGTGGTTCGACACATCCGTTCGTATGGAATATCGAACAGCCGCATTGGAAGTGGAATATCTTCTTGCATTGGGCCTTCTTCTTGGCATTATGATGCCTCTTCTTGATTGGTTCTGGCGAATAGGGGCTGATCGACAGTATAGAATTCTGCATTTCTAATCGTCCATGCTTTGAGCCCGGCGTGTTCATTTTTTTCCAAAAACTCTTTGTAACTAGAATCGGCTCCTGGGTTGCATAATATAATATTTGGAATCCCGCCCTTTATTTTCTTTGGGCGGGCATATTTACAATTTGAAAAAAATTCCCGTTGCGCTCCAATAAACTCGCGCCAATGTTTCAAAAATTGTGGGGCCACATCATCGATTATGTTGTAGAAAGTGTCGTCCTTGTGGTCCCTCAGGTCGATGTGGCCAGAATAATAATTATGTGGTCCCAAAGACCGGGCCCAACATGTTTTCCCAATTCTAGATGGGCCTTCAATTATAATGCTCTTGGGCCTGTGCGGTCTTTAGGCTTCGTCTCTTATATTTTCTGCAGCCCATTGCTAACTTCTAATATCTTTGCAGACCTGCAAAAGTACTAGAAGTTCACAAAGACTGCTCGAACGTAAGAAGCAGAATTTTGGGCAGGAACAATTTGAAAAACGAGCTACCAACTTGTTCCAAATGCAACCAACACCTCCTAATAACCAAACTCAAAGAGAAATAAAGGGAAACAAGACATGAATAGCTATATAAGACAATGAAACCCATATCCAAAACATCAATGGATCGGGTATAAACCAGAATTGCTATACTAAGTCCTTAGTGGAGGCATATCATCAACACCAGAAAGTTCCACACATAGGGTGAACCAAAGCCTAGTAGAGATACTTTAATACAATGTATTGAACTTAGCAAAGTTATAAGGTGAATGCACATGCATGCCATTTGTCAAGCATTAAACTTTTCCATCTCAAAACAATGCAATGCCTTTATCAATGTATTTCAATTCATGAAAATACACTATTATATTAGAAAACAGGGCAGTGGATACAAAACACTAGGAATCTTTAGATACATGTCTGCTAGTAAACTATACAAGCATTACTAAAGCCATTTTACCAGTATTAATTGGAAGGATTGACACCTAACCATGCGGATTTTTGGACTTTCATGAAGGATATACAGGCCAACAACATAAACCACAACCACACCCCTAATCAGATTCACTACGATACATTTTTTTTCCTCAAAACAATCAATTTCCAATGATTAAATATGCAACAATACTCAATGCAAGATGTATGAGTAATTATTTTTAATTAATCTAATCCTCATACAATTTCTACAACACTCAAAGTTATCCTCCACCAATAACCCAAAAACAAATATTTCTAATCAACAGATAAATTGTCCAACAATAGATAAAATCTCAACATTTTCAAAATGAGAGTGATAATAAATATCCAACTCCACTGTCATCATTAACCAAAACCTTTTTTTCCATATCCTTTCAAAACCCAACATCCTTCATTTTCCTTTCATAAAACAAATATCAATAATTTTCAAACAAAATTTCCTTTATTTCCAAAATCACATTTAAAGGAAGATCCTTCCATATTTCGACACAACCCATTACTATACACATTTTCACAACCTTCTCGAGCATTTATTTGAAAAACTCCTTTATTATATTTCAGAATCAAACCCTTTGACCCAAAATTCCCAAATCACTAAACACTTTCAAGGAGAAAATAACTAAGTTAAAAAACATACAAGAGGTTAAAGAAATTTCTATCTTAAGAGTAGAAGAGAAAGAGAGCAAGAGTGAAACTTTGGCGAAGCCGAAAACAAGATCCCTTCCGATTAGATTGAAGATTTCGACGAGCTTTACCTTTTTCTCCAAAGAGCAACAGTGGAGAAATCAATAGATGATGGAGTATTTGAGCTTTTAAACAAGAACTAGAGAAAGAAAGTGAAGAAATTAGGGTTTTGAAATGTTTTAGAGAGAGAAAGGAATGAAAAAGTGATTCAAAAATCTCTTTCCTAAACTGATATATGCTCAGATCGCTCGAGCAACTAAAACATCGCTTGAGCATAAGACATAATAAGTGACACCGCTCAAGCGACCAAAATACCACTTGAGTACACAATGACCTATTCCTAGAAGTTTTGCAGACAGCAGAAGACCGCTTGAGCGCAAGAAGGACCGCTTGTGCAAAGATCACCCTACTCCCAGAATTTTGCAGACCTGCAAAATATTGAGAGATCTCAAAAACCGCTTGAGCGAACAAGAAGAACACTAGACAGCAACTCTTTCGAAAAAAACTAACTCCCAACCTGTTTCAAATACAATCTACAATCCAACTCAACTACTAGCAAGGTGATGAAGAACATAATCAACAGTTAAAGACATAGAATCCCAGATCTAAGAGTATGAAATGGATCTGGTGTAAACCGGAACCGTTATATTGACTATAATTAAAAAAGTAATTTTGATTTCTCACCAAATTTAATCATTTTTGATAAAAATAAATAAAATTTAAGTATAGTATGATTTAAGTTTTGTACTATTTCTCTTCATTTCTTACTATTCCGTTAAACAAAAAGGATTAGAAATCTTGGTTAGCGTTTGGTAGAGTTTTAGAATTATAATTTAAGTGTGGAGTTGTATTTTGAGTTTGTGAGTTTTTAAATTATGATTTGAAAAGAGAAAATTTGTTTGGTTATGAGTTTTGAAAAGAGTTTGAAAAGAAATTTGAATTGAGTTTTGAATTTTTGAAATGAAATTTTAAATTAGAAAAGTTGTTTGATTCAAAAACTAATAACTCATAACTAAACACACAATTTAAAATTCTATTAAAAACTCATAATTAAACTCTTTTTAAAATTCAATTCAAAAATAATTATTGATAAAAATAATTTTTTATTTAAAAAAAAATTTGAACATATTTTATATGTAAAATATTTTTTAAAAAAATTGTTAAAAAAATCAAAATCTAATTCCCATATTTTTTTCAAATAACAGGTGTCAATTGCCCACTAAAAAAAAACTGTTCCGAACGTCCGAGGGAACGTCAAGGAGGAAAACCGGATAGACCCAATTTGTTATTTTCAAATTTTCAAATTTAAAAAACTCTCTACTCTTCAAACATAATCTGAAATAAGTTTTGAAATGTGACATTGAAATCAATTTTTAAAAACTTAAACCAAACAAAACATTAAAAAATTCACTAGAATCATGTTTCCAAAAACTGTTCCAAACACAGCCTTATTTTCTCAATTTCTGAACAAAACCAAACGGAGTGTAAGAAAGAAGTTGGTTTGGTTCATATCCCCAAAGGCAAAGGCAACAGTGTCTCCTTAAAAACATCCCAAATAAAGGCCAACCATCCTAGATTGATCCCCCGCCTTCTCTCTCTCTCTCTCTCTCTCCCACCCATTGGTGTACAAAAATTCAACCTCAGTTCCTCCCATCTCATTCAACTCTCTCTCTCTGTCTCTCTCTCTCTCCAATGGAAGGGACACTCTTCCCAAACAGGCCATGCTTCCCAATCCAACCAACAAAGCCAACACAATCAAATCCACGTTTGAAATTCAACCCAAAAACTCTGACTCTCCCTCCTCAACCTCCAGCCCCTCCATCATTTCCTCTGGATTCTCTCCTTCAACATCTTCTCTACCTCTCTTCACACCCACCCAACTCTACCCACAACCCCAAACTCATCAAATCACTCCAAACCAGCAACACCCATTTCACTACTCTTGATGTCTCTTCAGATTCCCAAGATAAACAACCATACCACCATCTCAACAACTCCAATTTCATTTCATTGCCAGTACTTGAAAACAACAAACAAGGGGTTGTTCAATCAGCTGATGATGGTGCACTTAATTTTCTGCCCCTGAGGTGTAAGTTCATGCTCAATTCTATCCTACAACTGCCTGTATCTAGTTTGAATGCTTTCTTTGATTCTGCTAAGTTTGAGTTATTTGAAATTGATTTGGTCAGTCTCTTGAAAGGTTTAGACCTTTCTGGCAATTGGGAAATGGCTGTCTTGTTGTTTGAATGGGTTTTGTTGAACTTTAATTCCCTGAACATCAAATTGGACAACCAGGTTATTGAATTAATGGTTAGGATTCTCGGGAGAGAGTCTCAGCATTCGATTGCATCGCAACTGTTCGATGAAATTCCCATTAAGGACTATTTGCTTGATGTCCGAGCATATACTACTATTCTTCATGCTTATTCTCGTACTGGGAAGTTTGGGAGGGCAATTTCTTTATTTGAACATATGAATGAGAAAGGGCTTGCACCAACTTTGGTTACTTACAATGTCATGCTGGATGTTTATGGGAAGATGGGTCGGTCTTGGAATAAAATTTTAAGCCTTTTGGATGAGATGAGAATCAGAGGACTTGAGTTTGATGAGTTTACTTGCAGCACTGTGATATCTGCTTGTGGGAGAGAAGGGTTGTTGAAGGAAGCAAAAAGCTTTTTTGCTGATTTGAAGTCTCAGGGTTATGTACCAGGAACAGTCAGTTATAATTCTCTGCTCCAAGTATTTGGGAAGGCGGGGAATTATTCAGAAGCTTTAAGTGTTTTGAAAGAAATGGAGGAAAATAACTGCCCACCTGATTCGGTGACTTACAATGAGCTTGTCGCAGCATACTTGAGAGCAGGATTTCACGAGGAAGGAGCTACACTCATTGACACAATGACCCGTAAGGGTATAATGCCCAATGCTGTTACATATACAACTGTAATAGATGCCTATGGAAAAGCTGGGAAGGCGGACAAGGCTTTGAGTCTGTTCAACCGGATGAAGGAATTGGGTTGTGTTCCTAATGTGTGTACTTACAATGCCATCCTTGGAATGCTAGGGAAGAAGAAATCACGATCAGAAGAGATGATGGGGATTCTATGTGATATGAAGTCAAATGGATGTGCCCCTAATCGTATTACATGGAATACTATACTTGCCATGTGTGGTAATAGAGGGATGCACAAATATGTGAACCGGGTTTTTCGTGAGATGAAGAGCTGTGGTTTTGAGCCTGATAGAGACACATTTAATACATTGATAAGTGCATATGGCAGGTGCGGGACGGGAATTGATGCTGCAAAAATGTATGATGAGATGATTAAAGCAGGGTTTACTCCATGTGTTACAACTTACAATGCGCTTCTAAATGCACTGTCTAGGCGAGGTGACTGGAAAGCGGCTGAATCGGTTATTCTAGACATGAGAAACAAGGGGTTTAAACCCAGTGAGACCTCATACTCATTGATGCTCCATTGTTATGCAAAGGGAGGACACGTGAGGGGGATAGAAAGAATTGCACATGCTATTTATACTGGTCATATCTTTCCTAGTTGGATGCTTTTGAGAACCCTAGTTCTTTCAAATTTCAAGTGCAGGTCACTGATGGGTATGGAGAGAGCATTTCTGGAACTGCAAAAGAATGGATACAAACCTGATTTGGTTTTATTCAATTCCATGCTTTCAATTTTTGCAAGGAACAAGATGTTTGATCGTGCCCATGAGATGATGCAGTTGATTCAGGAGAGCGGGTTGAAGCCGGATATTGTGACCTATAATAGCTTGATAGACATGTATGCCACAGCCGGGGATTGTTGGAAAGCAGAAGAAATCCTCAAAGGAATACAAAAATCCGGTGGAAAACCAGACCTTGTGTCTTACAACACCGTCATCAAAGGGTTTTGCAGGCAAGGACTCATGCAGGAGGCTATAAGAACTCTCTCGGAGATGACAACTAGGGGGATCAGACCATGCATTGTCACCTTCAATACATTTGTGGCAGGCTATGCAGGGCAGGGATTTTTCACTGAAGTAAGTGACGTGATCAGTTACATGATTCAGCACAATTGTAGACCCAATGAGCTAACCTACAAGACAGTTGTGGATGGTTATTGTAAAGCAATGAAGTACAAAGAAGCCATGGACTTCGTGTCAAAAATTAGGGAAACAGATAAATCCTTTGATGAACTATCTTTGCAGAGACTTGCATCTTGTGTTACGGAGCATATGGAGTCATGAATTGATGGAGCAACCCTTTTGGATTGATGTTGTTTATTACTCAGCATCTAAAGTGCAGATTGATCATGACAGAATTTTAATCTGCTTCCAGCATCAGGATTAGTTTGTGATATATTTTCCAGTAAGTCTCCGTGCTAGTTTTGTGTAAATTTTTATGGACTAATAGATCAGATCTGTCTTGGGTGATCTTTCTATCAGTGGTTAAGATCAATGGGGCCTTAAATCTGAAGAAGTGATGACAAGAGAACAGGAATGAGATATTTTTCTCACTCTGACATTGCCTTTTGATACTTTATAATTGATGGTTAGCAGGGCTTGCCTCTCGCTACGGGTTAGTCATCATAAGTTTTTCCAAACCAGGTGCATGCATTGATTGTATGTAACAATTGGAGATTACCTCAGCTTATTACCATTGTCTATAACTACTGGAGTTTACTGGGTTTGTGTTTTTGTAGCAGTATCCAAGGCATTTTCCATTTGAAATTTTTGTTAATTCCTACATTTGACTCGTCGGAACAGAGTATTTAGGGAGTTCAATCATGTATAATGTTTTCTGAAACTCTTGCAAAAGAATACTGTTTAGGATTTCCATACTTAGTTGTTCTACAATTATTCTTTCAAATTTTGGTCTACATAAAAGCCTGAGTGGGTAGATTTAACACCATCATCTTATTGGTAGCTTCCTCTGTCTTTTGCCTCTGGCTCAACTTCTGCTCCTATAATTCGTCTCAAAATTCTGAGACAACTTGTCTCTCTATTGCAGAATGTTTTAGATTCATATTTTGTTGGTTTTTCCTACCTTTTTTTTTTTTTTCCAACTTTGTTAATTTAAGGCTTTTCGCTTCTACTATAGCAGTTGAAATCACTTCAATTATTTGGAGGTAGAATTTAAGTATGGCCATTTTAAAAAGTAAGCAGTGTTTCATTTTGAAGTCCAATGAATTTGGGCACATTTTTCTCGTTCCTCATGGTTTTGGGAATGAAAAATGTCTAAGACCTCCTTTTTTTCCCACCCCTTTGACCCCCTCTTTTTTTTATTGGTTGGATTTTCTTTTTCTTTTTTTTTTGTTTCCCTTGTCATCCAATCACCACCTGCCACATGTGTGTGGGGGGTGGTGGGGGTGGTGATTGGAGGGGGTTTGCATCACTCCTCTTTGGGAATTTGTTTTTCAGCTTTTATGTTTGGTTCCAATTTTTCAAAAATTGAATTTTTTTATTTTTCGTGCTTTTTTATATTTATTTTAGTGAATTTTTTTAATATGTTATACAAATTTTTTACTATTCAGATACACTTAATATAAATACAATTAAAAAGTATAATATTTATGAAAAAAATCTTTAAAAAATTCACTAAATATCAAAAATATAAAAAAAAACATATGAAAATTCAGTATATTTTTGTATTCTTGTATATTTATTAATCTTTTAATTTTTTTTTATAAATATTTTATTTTTTAAGTACATCTAGATTAAGTGCATTTAAGAAGTAAAAGAATTGTTTAAATGTTAAAAAAATTTACTAAAAATTAAAAAATACGAAAATAAAAAACTCAATTTTTAAAAATTTAAATTCAAAAAATTAGAACTAAATAGGGATTGTCTCTGAAGTTTGCATTCTATTGTTTCATTTTCCGAAATCTGTGGGAATTGGCCAGAGTCATATGTTTAAGGATCTCACCAAAGTTGCAATGTTAGCGAGTTTCCCAGTTCACATCTTTTTAGGGCAGTTTTTTTAGTTTATGTGTGCCCTGTTTTTATTGTTGTTTTTTATTTATAGTAACGCAGTTATAAATGGGGAGATTTGATGATAGACCTCTCACTGCCTAATTTATATAGATACTTTCAAAATCTCTAATATTTTAAAACTTGTTTCTTTTACTATATTACTCTCATATTTATCAGCTCTCTTATTAAGCCATCTTTACAGTGTATTTCAGAGTAAAATTTTTGTTTGAATCATAGTAAACTTTACTCTGATTCAGAGTAAAATTTTACTCTGAAAGTACAATTTTAGTATCATTGTATAATTCAAATCTGCAATGAATTGATAGTAAACTTTTACTGTCACTAGGAGTCCAAAAACAAATAACAGAAGTATACAATAACTAAGTAAAAGTTTACTATCATTGTATAAAAAAACAATAAAAAACAGAATAGATAACACCAAAGTAAAAGTTTACTCTCATTTTATCAAACAAAAATAGAGCACATGCCAGAGTAAAATTTCTCATATTGTATCAAACAAAAACAGAACACAAACCAGAGTAAAATTTTACCCTCATTCTGTCAAGCAAAAACAGAACACAAACTAGAGTAAAATTTTACTCTCATTCTGTCAAACAAAAACAGAGCACAAATCAGAGTAAAATTTTATTCTCATTCTGTCAAACAAAAACTAGAATACACAACTGATTGAACTTGGCAAATCAACAAAAAAAAAAAATCAAAAACAAAAACAAAAACAAAAACAAAAAAACTAATCAACATATATCGAAAATCAAATAACGACATTGAACCAAAGGTGAGGGTCAAGTCATCAATCCAAATCTTAGGCAAAATTTTGAGCTATAAGGTCAACTCCAAATCAAAACTCAAAATCAAGTTCGTAATGGTGAAATCACACCAAATTCGAATTGCCACAAATCAGATCTCAGATGTTATTAGTCGAATCTAGATCTGAGATGTTATAAGTTGAATCAACCTTACCCAAGCCTCTTAAGCATAGATCGCAAACTCAAATTAGCGCTCCTCTCAGATCACAAATTTAACAGAGGACTGAAGGAAAAGGGAGAACCTTTGTTAGAATTTTAGTCTAGTAAACAAGTGAATGGAGTATGGTAAAGATGCATGAAGCCTCTGGTTTCTTCAATTCTAGGGTTTCCAGAAGAGAAATGGAAGGCTTGACTGACATTGGATGTGGAGGAGGGGGTGGCGCCGGGAATCATGGCGGTTGGTGGCTGGAATACATTGGCGGACGGTGCGCCGACGGCTCAGGTGGCCTTTGGCATGGCTATGAAGAGAAGTTGTGTTTAGAGGGGAATGAGAGAGACGGAGAAGGTGGGGAGGGAGTGGGGGGAGAATGTGGGAAGATTTAGTTGAGGGTATAATTGTCTGATAAAATATTTAAATAATAAATTGTCCTTGATGTAAGATTTTATAATTATGAGAGGATTTAAAAAGTATAATTTTTTTCTTAATCCTTTTAACAATGAAAGGAAGATAAGGGGGTTTTATAGCCAAATTTCCCTTATAAATTCATAAGTTTTATATAGAAACAATTCATGGACATAAGGCCCCTCAGATCATATATTCAGAGAATATCAAACGATCTCTCAAAAACACATCCACACCTTCTAGGTCTGCAAACTTTAATTCGTTATGATATGCAAGAATCGTAGTTCCTAAAGCTTTCATGCAGCTTCTCTTGATCGAACCAACTCATGTCGTTGCCAATCTAGTGCTCCATGCACTAAACCTTATGAGAAGCACCTTTTTCACATAAAGCACTTCCCTACAGCCTGATCTGCCTAATGGAATGAATTATGGTCTTAGTTCTTACTATTTCAAAGTTGAGGAAATGAAAGCTTGATGGCAGGCTTACAAAGGTAAAGTCTAGGGACATAGGGTTGGGATTGCTATTCTAAGCCTAGTGCCTAAGACGATGGTCGGATGCTAGAGTAATTCTATATGAGCTGCCATGCTTGACCAAAGTTGGAATCAAGCATGCATGGATATCGATTTGGAAGGACATTGTCGTTTATTGATACTGAGACAACTATTTAACAATTTCACTGTTTGTATCTATGTATGAACAAATATTCAACCATAGCTGAACAAGGACAATGACCACAATGTGCATTGTCTTCTTATGGAACAAGTCAATCAGTCACGCATGTTGGAGATAGTTGTTATACAATTGATAGAACCTAAAACTGATAAAGCACCACATAGATGAAGACTAGAAGTTGTGGAATCAATTGCTCCTCTGAAATGGCTGATAATACCACTCAAGGGTAGATAGATTGTCAACCTAGTGTCGCTACCCATTTCTACTAAGGTTGGGTTTAATAGGAGCACGAGACTTGGTGGCAACAACCATAATGAAAATATAATTTAATTGTGAAAATGCCATGTCACGCACACCTATCAGAATCGAAATAGACCAATTACCATATTCACCTATTATCGTAGGCATAGCCACAAAAAAATCATTAAAAAAGCGTGTGCCATTATTAAAGCATTATAAAGTTGATGATTTCCAGAAAGAATTTGATCGCTAAAAAGATCTTTAAAAAAATTGATCATCAGATCATGCTAATTCCATACAAATCTATACTAAAAAACATGTGCCCATCACTTTAGCAATGGCACTAATGATGAAATAAAGTCCCTATATCTTTAAGTCATTTTTGTGTCTATCGATACCCACCTAACTGAATTGGTGTGAACCGTTGCGCCTTACTCGAAGGTCAAGAATTTAAGTCTTGCCGCAAGTTATAGCTTTCGATGTACTAAACACATGTGACTATATGGTAGTGTAGTAAAAATAGAAAGCAATTATTGGCGGAACTTAAATAGGTCTAATTGTTATTTACAGAGTGAATTACATACTTACATGTTTTAAGATGACAATAGACAAACACTTTTCTTGCTTGACAGAGAATGCAAAATGAAAAGATTCATTATATAACTAACTTTTGATTCTAAGCCATTTTTAACTATTAGTGAAGTATTCAAAGTTTTTTAGTGCATATATATATATATATAGATTTAGGAGGATATGTTCAGGAAGTAAGAAACTCCTTTCACATTTCTGAACCATTAAAGCAAAACTCCATCTAAGCTAATTAGCTTACCTCTAATTGTTGGGAATATCTTTAAAAATATCCTCTTGTTTGCAGCCTTCAATCCTTCTATTTTGGGGTAGGCTTAGATTAGTTGCATTAGTACTCCTTATTAATAAGGAAAATATAGTCTTGTTCCTTTTATGGTTGTTAAGAAAATTATAACATATGTAAACTGAATATCTTTCTTTGCCTAATACAAAACCAACAACATGATAGACCGTTAAACCAACAAAACAACAGTTAAGTGCACAGACAATACCGAATCAAAATGTGACCAAATTTTCCTTTTTGAATGTGACAATGTGATCATAAACCAATCAAATTATTTTCCTTCACAAACTCAAGTTGGGATTTGTAGTCTCACTTAGCTTGTAATGGAGCCATTCTCTTTACCCAAATGCTTGTCTCCTGGTGAGCTCATTCAATAATTGATAATGGTATCTTGTATAGGAGAATACAATTGCACACTAAATGCAAGGAAGATTGGCAAGGATGAGCACTGTGAAACTCCTTTTGAGTATTTGCTTCTTGCAAAATTGATCACTATTAATGTTGTTTTACTGAATGGCACTACTATATTTAAGTTAGATACATCACGATGACAATGAAGTCTAGAGAACAAGTGACTAAAGAGTATAACTCATTGTGGGGATGTAAATTTCGAAAATACTCCTCGAATCCGAACAGCCCTGAAAGATCCTTACACTGTCACCTAAAACAGATAAACAACTCCGGTCGGTGGTGCCGGAATTAGCACTCCGATGGTCTAGTCAGTTCTATCTCTAGGTCATTGATATTATATATTTCTTGGAGC